CTTAGTTTATCAAAAAAAAAACCTTTTGTGAATGCTTCCTCGAATACCAGAACAGTTAAATTATTGTTAATTGTTCATTATTTTACCAGTGTTAAATTTTTTCAAACGAAAAAAATAGTCTACTTAAAACACTGCTAAATTCTATTCAACAGATTTCTTAATTTTCAATTTCTCTATATTATATATTTCGACATAAATATATACTATATATTATATTTTCAATAAATTCGTAATTGGAAAGGTTTAATATTTTGGAACAAATAAAAAAATGTATATTAATATCTATAATTTCCGAAAATATATAAAGAGCATAATGACATAATATTATGCTTTCTATTGTATCTATTCTAGAAAATTATAAAATTTCTATCTTTTCTTTAAGTTAAAAAATTAAAGTATCTTTAATTGCTTTTATATCTGCATTTCTAGCTTCTAAATTTTTGATTCCTAAAATGAAAATAAAGGATTATTTTCTCAGCTATTTTATTTCATTTTGCACAGCCCGTCGTTTTTTAACTTGGGATACGATACATTGAGACAGAGTACAGAGAATTAATTCGCTTATTTGTTATTTAAAAGATGGTATACTTTATTTATTGTTAAGGGTATGCGGAGTAGCTCAGCTAGTAAGACTTTGTGCTCCTATTCTCTGAGCTCTGAAGGATTTGGATCTGATTATGTCAAATGATTATTTAGTCTGTTACTTCAGTTATTTCAGTTCAGTTGACTTTAGATTCAGGAAATTCTCTTTGAGCTCACTCAGCCTCTATAGAGTTGGTATTCTTAAAAACAATGGCGTTTGAGCGTAATCCATACCAAATAACCTACTTTCCAATTCATTTTCTTATAACAGTACTTCCTTGCAAATCGCTGAACTCAAGACCTTTTGTGGGTGATTTTGGTAGAATTTAATATATTTTCCCATTTACTTTACCACTTATTGCATTAGAGTTTTTATTTACCAGATTGATCCTATTCACATTTTTTCCAAAAAGTCAAATAATTAATGTCACGACTCGACCTAGAAAATAAAAATAAAAATTAGGAATTTATGACCAAAAATGTGTCATCCAACACAACTCGTAAGTCACTTATGGTCAGTTTAGATTCAAAATAATATTTATTGTGTAATTTAGGGAAAAATACTTTGGCTTCCTTCCCTTATTTTCCACTTTTACGCAAACCAATTTCGGTCTTTTATCAGAAATTCATCAGAATATGTGAAATAATAAAATTAAAAACAACAATAAAAACTTGTGTAAATAATAACAAAACCTAATTTAAAATTTAACAATTTAAAATCAAATTTTAATAAATTAATCAATAAAAATGGTGAATAATCATATAATGATTGTAATAAATTAAATCAATAAAATTAATCAATGTTACTGCCTAGCTAATAGGTTACAAAAAATAACTTTGTACCTCAACAAAATTAACAAAAAAAAGGCAATACTTTTTCAAATTGCATCAAATAATGGGTACACCACAGAAATTATCGAAAAAATATTTAGGAAAATTGAAAGACAGAAATTTGAATAGGCAACTTATAACAGCCTACAATATAATAATATTAATGTTAAAGATTTCAGAACATTTACATATATAGGTCTTGATACTTATAAAATTAATAGTATTTTTAAAAGAGACAAAAAAATGAAGGTCTGATAAAAGACATAAACTGGTTGCGCAAAAGCAAAAAATAAAGGGATATACAGGAAGACAACGTTTTTTTTGTTAAATTAAATTTCAATCCTGTAACATCAAGCCACAATTAAAGAAAATTTATTGTGTATGTGCAATGATGTGTAATATCATAGTTCAAATTTATTTGTTTTATGATGGAAGGCTAATTTGATGTTTTCTAACGAGATTAAATCTTCGATTTGATTTGAAGATACCTGTTAAATATTGTTACCCAAATGCGAGACCGAGACGAGTCTTGGTCTTGCAAACTCAGTCTTGGTCATGGTCTTGGTCTTGCGCAAGAGTCTCGCAACAGTCTTGCAGTTACTTATTACTGTAGAAGTATTACTGTAATTTTTTTGATAGGAGAAACCTAACTAAGCCCGAATGAAGAATTAGAGGAGATAAATGCAAAAGTATATTGGTTATACCAATTTTTTACATACGATAACTAAAATTGTCAAGTATTAGTAACTATTTTGCCTTAATTTTTATTCAAAAAATCGATTTTTTTTACCAGTCCTGGTCATGGTCTTGCAACAGTTAGGCGGCCTTGGTCTTCGTCTTGCAAAGTGCAAGACCAAGACCAATTTTGGGCAACACTTCTGTTAAAACTACCGTTTTATATCGTGTTTTTTTTCTATTACAATCTCTTTTGTTTTGAAATCGTAGGGTTTTTTTTTTGTTTATTTTTAAAATGGACTATAATTAATTCAAAGTCAAGTCTTCATACTTTACATATTAGTAAAATATTAAGGCGCTGACTCATGATTAATGAATGCCACTCCCAGAACGAACTACATAGCATCATGGTAATCAGACCACTCCAAGAACCAAGAAGTAAAAATAAATTAGAAGAAAAAATATATGCATATAAGATAACTTCCCTTTTATAATATCTTAGTACAGAAACAGCCTCGTCCAGAGAAGAGTCATGTACACTGATTCTCAGTGAATATGAAATATAAAATGGCTGCTGAAGCGAGGAAACCGGCCATGTATTAATGATGACATAGACAAAGTTGTCCCCGCGGGCACAAAAACACTGGTTAGATACGCTTGGGATATTTGTCAAACGATTTTACAGTTGTACAGCGGTATGATATTATCTCGGTCCAGTGTTTTCCTCTGTGAGATAATTAAGTCGTTTGGAGGTAAACTGGCCGTAAAGTTACTTTCTTTAAGGGTTGGGTGTACGTTGGAGATCTTTAAGACATAAGACAATGTCTATATGCCAAGGCTGTCTCGGGAAACATCCGGGTGCATAACATGGGAGTTCTAATTACGAATAAAAGGGAAGAAAAAAAATTGAGTTAAATATCATAAGCATGGACCCATGACTGATCTTAAATAAAATATGGAAAACTAAAAAAAATCGGTGCTTAAGACCACACGATAGAAGTGAAAAAGTCAACAAAGCAGGATTAATAATATGAAATATATGTATTTTTTGTTCTATATTCACAAATTAATAATATTTGCAATATATAAAATTATAATTGTGAATAAATTATTCTAGTAAACTTTTCTCTGACTGATCGTCATTTGAACCTTACTTACTCTAGAATATAATAGAAACACTTAATTTCTTTTCTTTACGACTAATTAAAAAAAATATCTATATTGACTTATGAAAATTGGATTCAGAATTCTCCATTATATTTAAATGTCTGAGATACTTTAATCTAAATGTTCGAAAAATTGTTTTTTTACAATATCTTTTTCCATTTTTGCCTCTCTGACACGGCGTTGCTTCAAGATAAAATTTTTAGTAATCATGACAATGAGGATGATTTTTAGTTTCTGAGATTCTTTGATCCAAACGCAAACATTTGTCAACTTGGCCCGACTTTACCCCAAAATTATTCAATCACAAAATAAAGCGCTAAGAGCCTCTAAAGAAGTTTTTACTTAAAAAAAAAAAAACTACTGAAAATATGTTATAAGTACGACGTTTTACAATTCAGTAATATTTGAAGGGCTTCTGCTTTCTTTTCTGTTTAAGACAGAATTCTCAACAGATCTACGCCGATTCTAGATAGTAGATATTTTTTTCTTGTATAGTAATCATCCGTGGTATAGACCCAACCCTTCTCCCAAATTATAAACATTTATGTAATGCTAAAAATATTAACGATTAGCTTCATCTTGTACCATACATTTTTTTTATTTATTAAAATAGTTAGAAATTAGAGCGTTTTCAATCATAGAGGTAAAATGCCTCTATTTAATGAAGTACTCACGAACACTCATATGCTTCCAATTGAATCGTAAGATAATTCGATAAAGAAATAAAAACACACTAAGGTTTAAGTGTGTAAGTTTCATCATTAAATATATATTTCAATCTTTGTTTTGCGTCAGACTTCAGACCCTCTACGAATACATTTTTTTTTTTAGGACTAGATGATTCTCGTATAATCGTATAGTTTATTATCTGTGTATATAATTAAAGAAATGAAATATTTATATTAAAAGCATTTGAGACCATCCTAGACTGGAGCAACACTTGTTAGAAGAAGTATTCGAATCGTTGCCCTTAGAACGCCAAGATATTGAAATAAGAAAAGGAATGACGACAACTATGGTATTTAAAAACTGATTTTAAGCTTACAATTTTTATTTTTAGTTAAGAATTGTGATGATTTAATTCATCTTACTGATTTATTTATAGTCAAATGGAATTTTTCGAATAGGTAAAATGGAACTCCTGAGTTAAGTATATAGTGATTTTTTCCTAATCCTTGGTGATGGTCACAATTCATAACTTACTCCCTTTGGCCATAGATATAATTGTGGTATTTCTTTTTTAACAGTAAAAAAATATTCTTGAAAAATTTTTAATGTTAATTCAAAAGTATTAATTCGTGGAGTAATTTTACATAAAACCAAAATATTCTGAGGTAAATTTTAAAATTTGATGCAGCAGAGTTAGTGGCATGATACACTTAAAAATCAATTATTGGCAAATCTTTTTTTTTTTTTTTTGTCTATAAAATATGTATTTGCGCCTGTCAACTGTTGACAATCAGCAAATGTGATGGCGATACATGATATAATGACATGCATGGGGAAGGAAAGTACTCAGCAGTACCTCTTCCCTAACTTGTTCCAATAACTTAGGTTGTCGAAGGAAGATTTTAAAAAAATCAGGAATAAGGTATTATAGCAATAAAGGAGCTAAAATATATTTAATTTTATTCATAAAATTAATATTCTGTAAAGTTTAAATTTAAGTGATGATGAAATCCCTACTATTGAATCTTTTGGCATATTAATCGCTCCAGGTATATTTATTTTTTTGTTTATTTTAGTTTCCAAGATTGAAAATTGGTCCTGGTAATGGGAATACATTTTAATTGTGGTACAAAAAAAATCGAAAAGTTTTAGCAACAAACTGTTTGTTCCATTGCTGGTAGTTAAAAAATGGAAAATACTCCTATAAGAAGGTCTAATAACAAGACCATTTGGTGCTATGAACAATAAATAATTTTTGTTGAAAATACTAGAAATATTAATAGCATGGCATATTAATAGCATTACTAAGAAGAATGAATAATTGAAAATAACGAATACCAGAGAGCGTCAAACCCAACGAAGCATGTAAGTAAGTAATGTAAAGTGGGTCTTAAGAATATCCTTTGTTAACACCTTCATTAAACATTTAGTGAACTTCTTTCCTCTTATGGCTGAGAACATCACATAGTAGCACCCACCCTGGGAAAGTTCTGAGATAACCATTTAAGACGCTTGTGAATTGCATTTTTTTTTTTACATTAAATAATAGAAGAATTTCATACTACTGTTTTTTCATAAGAACACAGATTTTGAGTAAACAAGAGTGTCACTTTTTAAAATTTCTTTACTGTTTATGTTGCTTGAGGAATTTTGTTGAAGATGTGTGAGCACCCTGCATCCTATGTTTTCGTCTTTTCCAGGTGTTTTTGAAACGTGCAATCCCAGCTTAATATTTCCGCTGTGAATGAAATGTAATAAGTTGCTTAGAACGTTTCCCTCGTAATTGAAACAGATGTAAACAGCTAACTAAACTTTATTTTTAAAATCTGCGGATTGTTATTGAGATAAAATTACATAAACAGTGCAATAACCTATTTTAGATTTTTATTTTTTTTTTATTATTATTTTTTTATTATCTATTCTGCTAGTTTGCTAGTTCTTGTAATTTTTAGTGGAATCGTTTATAACGTACTCTTGATTTTCATCTTGTTGGTGTGCATTGTATCACGGAAGGCTTTGTTCTAAGATACCCAATAGAGATAAGGATCTGAATGGTGGAATGGCGTTTAAGATTTTTTTTTCCCTCAATATCCCTTTCTTGGCTGGAGGAAGAGTACATCCAGAGTGCAAGAAGACACCGCAGAAGAGAAGCGGAGATTACCCCGGCAGAGAGGAGAGGAGCTGACAGGGGGAGAGGGCGAGTATTGATCATATCACCCCTCCCCTTAAATGTTATCGCCTCCCCCTTCCCTTCCTCCCCTATCCACCCCCCTATTCCCCCACTTCATCCCCTTCCTCGCCGCACATTGTCCCCCTCCGACCCCTAATCCTCGCTTGCCTTTCTTCCTTCTTCCTTCTCTATTGCAGCCTAATCTCTATTAAATATGTATCTCTTGTTGACTGACAGTGACGGAGGACTTTTAATAAAAGGACTGTCGATGGTCACTTAGCGCTCATCCCTCCTCCGCTTTGATTCTGGTCTTTTCCGGCTTCAAGATGTCGGTTTAGTCCTGGGTGGTTGGGCCTTCCGATTATAGTAGAGATAATTCAGTGTATTTATTTTTATTTGATATACTTGTTTATTTTTATTTATTTTTTTCATACTGCTCTTGATTTAATTATTGGTGAAGCAGAAGATCTCTATGCCATTTTTTTTTTTTAAAGGCATTAACTAGGTAATAGTGAGAAGGAAATTAATAGAACGAGTGGATTTGGGAGATTTTGGGTAAAATTAAGTATATTTGTCGTTGATGAAATGACTAAGCCGTTATGTATAATTTGAGTTGAAATTATATTTGGCGATCTAAAAAATTTTTGAAGAATTTCCGGTTGTGTTTTTTGCATTATGTTTATGCGTGTTTGCCTCGCTGAACACCTATGTTCCGCTCAGTATGTCCAAATTGTTCTGAGTATAGAGAAAGTTGGGTAACTTTTTTTTACAATAAGTAACGTAAACAAGGTGAGAAAATGAAGACATTAAAGTGACATATTATCTCTCAGAAATTAAATAACTTAGTTCTTAAAATCTCTATCTCTTATGCTCAGAAATCTGAAAGTTAGAATTCACTAATATTTTACAGTGTTTAGGGTTGAATACGTGGCTTTATAGGAAAAAATCTTAAGGTTTCCCGAAATAAGATTGTAGTTCGAAGATAAATTTTTGGGTCGTCGAATGACTTAAGAGACTAAATAATGTAGCATTGATTGGCATGAACCAGAAAGTAAAATTGAAGTAATAGCTCCCCTGGAACGAGCATGTAAAATCGTTCGGCTTTAAGACTAAAAACCAGCGTTGGAACAACACACAGTGGGGCGAGCATATTGTTTGACATTTGGTATACCCAGAAAATTTCAACCTAATGGTTACATAATTTATTTATTTGTTTTTATTGTTCTGTTGTAGAATTTTTTAATTTTAAAAAATTGTTGCATTAATAATATCTTAGTATGAGATAATAGTTAATGCATTGGAAAATCTTTATTTTTTAATTTAAAACTAACTACCCATAATAAACCTAATGGGATGACCTGGAAAAAATGTTAGTGCATCTCAAAACATCGGTAATTAAAAATATATAGCCTCAACACGACGATTCAAACAATTGTAAGCGATTCAATTTCATCTCACCAATCATCTGAAAAACCTACATAACTGTTGTTATAAATTCAAACGTTTGAACTTGTAGCTACACCTTTCAGATCTTGTCCCAACTTAACACTTCACGTGTAACCGAAAATTTTACATGCGAGACCGTTGAACGTAGAATGATTATAATTAATTTTTTTTTATTGTATTTTCAGGGAAACAATCTTAAATTCCACAGTATCTTTGAAGCAACAAAAATAGTAAACAAAATACTGATACTGGTGCTCATCTAAACTTCCTTCGATTTCTCGTGAAATACTGATAGAAAATGTATCGGTCACAAAGGTACACAAACTCAAGCCTCAAAAAATGCCACATTCGCACGTTTAATGGTATGTATAAACGCTGCCTTACACATATACCAACAAACTTTTGACCATAGACTTAATTTTCTCCATCCCATCCATTAAAACGGTACATAAATGCCAATGTTGAAGGAACCTATATGCTCCTGTAGGGCTGTATAACCTAAAAAATTCAATGAGAAATCTTGTAAAGTTTTCATTTGCGCAAGGTGACAGAATCGGGAATAGAGAGAGAGGGGACGACAGGGGTGGGTCCTAGGGGGAGGAGGTGTCTTAATAAAATGTTACTTTATGGCGAGGGGATAGGACGACTGTCTTAAATGAGCTAGTGTTTAATGAAACTCCGCGAGGGGCCCAGCTTTTGTTTCTTTCTACTTTGTTTTCTCTTGAAGATGTGGTTCGGAATTAATTCAATGAAACATCTTGAAATTACTTTATTGGAAATCATAAGAGCAAGAAGAAATATCTGATACAAATTTATAGAACACTTTTAAAATTGATTAATTGAATTAAAGAAACTTTTTTTTTTCTTATCCTCCATTTTATTTTTCATCATTTTGCAACATGCAAGTACATACTAAAGTCTCTTTAGTCGTAATGATAACGATTAAAAGGACTTCAGTGTGTAAAACATCAATTAACGAAAACAATGAAGACTTCGTGTTGAAAAGTGTTTGAATAATTTGGATTACCTATAATTTAATCTAGGCAAAATGGGAGTTAAATAAATAATAGTAAATTTCAAAAAAATATTTTAAATAGTGTTTCTTTCATACATATTGTAGTGTTGCCCAAAATCTTTGCACTTTCCAAGACCAAGACCAAGACTGGCAAAAAAAATCGATTTTTTTAATAAAACTTAGGCAAAATAGTTACTAATACTTGACAATCTTAGTTAATATATGTAAATAATTGGTATAGCCAGTATACTTTTGCATTTAACTCCTCTAATTTTTCATTCGGGCTTATTTAGGTTTCTCCTATCTAAAAATTACAGTAATATCTCTATAGTAATCAGATAATAAGTAACTGCAAGACTGTTGTGAGACTCTTGTGCAAGACCATGCCCAAGACTGAGTTTGCATGACCAAGACTCGTAACGGACTCGCACTTGGGCAACATTACTTATTTGACTTTTTTTTTAGTAATTAATATGAATAATAATTTTATTGCTCAAATGTACAAAACCTTATAGCATGGAGTTGACTAAATTAACTATTTAAACTTCTTGCATTAACATTTTAAACTTCTTTTGATGACATATCTTCTTTGATAAAATACAGAACATATATGTATGTGCTTACAGTTACGTTTTCAGCCCTAATATTGTACAATTAATACTACAATAAAACATACTGCAATGAAATTCAATCAATATATGTACTAATACAATGGAACAGAACAATACTATTAGTGTTGCCCAAATGCTAGACCGAGATGAGTTTTGGTCTTGCAAACTCAGTCTTGGTCATGGTCTTGGTCTTGCCCAAGAGTTTCGCAACAGTCTTGCAGTAACTTATTAGCATATTACTATAGAGATATTACTGCAATTTTTTAGATAGGAGAAACATAACTAAGCCCGAACGAAAAATTAGAGTAGTTAAATGACCAAAGTGTATTGGTTATACCAATTATTAATATATTGTAACTAAGATTGTGAAATATTATTAACTATTTTGCCTTAATTTTTATTTTAAAAATCGATTTTTTTTTTACCAGCCCTGATCTTGATCTTGCAACAGTTAGGTGGGCTTAGTCTTGGTCATGCAAAGTGCAAGACCAAGACCGATTTTGGGCAACACTGCAAATACAATGAAACAAAATTTTACAGTTTTGAAACTTCCATAGGGATCTTATTCAGCCATAACTTCTCAGCCTAATAATAAGCTTCTTAATTTAAGACAACGAAAAAAGTACTGATAAAGTTAATTGAAATTTATTCTGTTTTCTACTCTTAAGGTGGCTTACACAAATTTTATGGATAGCTCTGTGTTACCTATAATTTTATTTTTAATAATAAAATAATTTATAATACAATTTTAAAAAACTTCAAATGATTAAAGAGACTTCAGTGTAAATGATTCCAGTGGTCGAAACACTCAAACAAATAAATAAATAAAATTGAGTGTTAAATATAATGTTTTTAATCCTTTTTATTGTCATTGAACTATTTTAAAAAAAGCAGTATTTTTTTACAAAATTAATTTTGATTCAGCTTATTTTTATTATCTAATGGAATTAAATTTTCTCGATGAATTGTTAAAGATTTTACTTGCATTGAAGTATTTTATTAATCATAGTATTTAGCTTTATGATACCTTAATTTAATACATATTAAATTAAATAATAGATGAAAGTATAAAAAATAAAAGGAAAAGATATGATATGTAAACCTTCAAAATCATGAACACATTTAATAGATTTTCCAACCAGGAAATATTGGAAAATTATTTTTAATGAGTTAGGAGATGGTCCGGGGTGGAGTGGAGTCATAAAAAGACTAAAATAGTGAAAACATATTTGTATTATTATATTTTTACTTTATTATTATTTACTATTTTAGTTTTTTTATGACTGCCACCCAGAACTCCTTACCCACATCTCCTTACTCAATGATATACAACGGTCAACCATCAAGTATTCAAAATTATTTAAAAAATAAATAAATTACAGAAAATAAAAAAAAGAGAGAAAAAGGTAAGCATGTGTACATTGTAAGATATAACAAATAAAAATTATGATAAATGTTGTTATTATTTTCTAACCCTTTGCCCAATATTCACCAATATCTCTTCACTCTATTATCCTCTTATTGATTAGAAGTAGATAAAGTTATCATCTTTATTCTATCATAGATAATTATGAAATAAAAATTATCACCTAGAGTTTATCAGATAAATGCTGAGGTTCCACATCGAGGATATCAGATCGAGCCCAGCGATCTCCCATAGATAACGCTCGCTCCTAGCCCACTTATCTCTTGGAGGAGGACGTCACAGGAAGCTAGCCGGCCATCCAATCCTCCATAAGGTACCCAGTTAATGGTTCCAGTACTCCGGCTATCTTCCAGAATCATCTTAATGCCGGATTAAGGTGGCCATCTTAGTCCTCTTTAGCTGAATAAAATGTATAAGTGATAGGGCAGAGCAGCGCAGTGCCGGGAATATAACTTCGTAGCTGTTCCACTCGCTGGATACATTTCTTTGCTTCTGTACCGCACTCCCAACCACTCAAACCTTTATCTTATTCTTATATATATATATATATATATATATATATATATATATATACATGCCTTTATCTACAGATTTCTTCATACACATACATATGTATACTTTTATATAGCTATAGACACACTTTATCTATAGAAACAGATTATTTTTTCGTTAAGATGGAAAACCAGCCAAAGCTGACATATGTTCAAGAAATATAAATTTGATTGCTAATTGAAAATAATAAATCAAACCACACAAATAAATTGCGAAATAAAATAAAATCTTACTGATTAAAAATACAGAAATAATTTACCAAAGTAAAATTATTTCTCTTAACATAATTTTCACGTCAAATGTAGATTGGCTTATTATAAATTTAATTTATAGGATTAGCTTCATCTTATTAATTATTACGGTTCCCATCGAAACCATTAGTATTTGATTGGAAAATTGCGGAGTGGTTCTGTACAATTATTATCTTAGGCATTTTAATTCAAAGCTATCATTGCTGTTATTTTTCATATAAATATTAATTTTCATATGAAATAGTTTTCTTAACCTTTTGTTTAGTTTTTTTTTTAGCATATTTTTAGATTTATTTATTTTTACTACATGAAACGTATCGCGGGTTTATTGAAAATAATCATTAAGTAACACTTCACAAAATTTTAATTTATTTTAAATGTTTGAATTAATTTTATTTAGTCTATTTATATTATATAATTATATAAACAAGCTTTTATGCGTTTTGATCCATCAAAAATTTACTTAAGGAATTTTTGCTATAAGCCAACGATATTGAACATCTAAAATTGTCGTCTATATTATGAACTTGTTCGAATTTCATATTTTTATTATTTTATTTTCAAAGACTTAGTTAAAATAAATGACTAAAATAATTATCATAATTTTTATTTTTGCTCGCTAAAGTTGTTTCGACTGCTTTGACCATGTACATTAATTTGATTATATGATATTTTAGCTTCTAATCTATGGATGAAAAATGAGGATCATGAAGAGGATTAATACAAAAACATTTGATAAACAACTAAATAGAAACTTAAGAATATTTTCCGCTTTAAAACGAAATTAAATAAAGAAACTATTGCATTTAAAATAAAGAATAAATTAATATTAAACAATTTTTAATGAAAAAAATTGTTAATTTTATCAAATACTATAACATTCAAATACCTAGGAAATGCACGTTATTTTAATGTAATGGTTCGAAATGAAATTATATATGGCTAATACTATATTGTGGAACAATACATAGTATTACATAATACATAATATCACCTTGTCAATTAACCAACTTCTTAACCAAACCCTCTAGGAGAAAGAAGAGTGTATATCCTAACCAAGGTAAATTTATTTATTTTATTATTTTAATTTAATAGAAATAAATTTTATTATTAATTTATTTGTTAATATTTGAATTAAATAATAAAGTGATTGTTGGTTTATTCATACTGCTCTTTCCACCATGTTTTTTAATAGGTACCTTCCTTAAAATTTACAAAAATTAACTCCTTAATTTCTTTTCTCTTATATATATATTTTTTTTATTACAATGAAATTTACAAATGTATCTATATATATTACTAAAATTTTCATAGATCTTTGTCATACAAAGTTTATTGATAATATTTCTGCTTTTTAAAATAATTTTAATTAGAAATTAATATAATATTTCGTCGGTTTATTGTAAAAAAGTTATTAAATGCAGTAAATGCGTCATAACGATAGAAACTCTATTATATATAAAATATAGTTATTCTATATGCTGAAAGTTCGGTTTCACTTAGGCAATACTACGACATTTAATTTTATGAAATATTAATTAAACTTTTTGGAATTAATTGACAATATATTCATTGATTAATGATTAACTTACAAGTAAAATGATTATAACTGTATAAACGTGATATATGAATAATGAGATAAAGTTATATATAAACCAAATGACCTGAACCTCGTTATTAAATTACTATTTATGAATTCAAAATAAATTAGTGTAATACATATGTAAATGTGTTGAAAGCAATATAATATTTAAACACAATGGGATCTCTTACATCGTTTAGAAAAATATATCGTAATTTATGTATATATTCTTGATAAACCTACTATTCAAGTTAATTTTATTATTTAAAAAAAAATGTTAAATCACATGAAATTTAATAATTTCCATCAATTAATACGTCATCTCATTTCATTAATAGAGTAATTAGTTTTACTGTCACATTAATCCTTCATTCTTTACTGATTCACTAAGCTAGAATTCGAAATAAAACCTGAAGAACGCAAATGAAAATGATTTATTCACAAGTATTTCGAACTTGATAAGAGCTATAACTTGAATTTTCTTAGGGCATATATATCACTCATTTATCTCAGTAATAAATGGTTTCCACACTTATACCCTCGCCAAAAAAAAAAAAAAACTTCAATATGCCTCAATAAAATTTTAATCAGTCCTCCAAAGGGCGAAGCACCTGGAGAATTAGAAGAGGCCATTAAGAGAAGACCTGGAGGATATGGAGGGGTGGATTTCCATATTTACGATTTGGGGAGAGGGTGGAGGATGGAGGGTCAGGCCCCCTCCCCGTAATTATTTGAGCTGATGCTGGGTTAACACATGCCTGGGGGTGTTGGATATCCAACCCTCCAACTCTCCATTCTTGCTTCCTATTGGCCACTTGGTTGATGGTTGTACATTTTAGACAATCATAACCATGGTTTCCCAGAACACTTTATTTTTTAGGTTTAACATGATAAAGTTATATTTTAATGTTTCACATTATTTGTCAGCTAACTAATATTCTATTAAAATTGACTGAATATTAATCAATTCTAATTTTTCTTTTCATTGTCACTTATCTACATAGTTATCTTTTGTCAATGTCCATGATTTCTAATTACCATTCGAGTGAGTGAGAAATTTTTTTTTATCCAAATGTTCTTTTCACTAAAACATCGAATATCCTTAAAATTAATCGGCTAAGATAACCTTTAATTCAGTCACATCAGTAAATTATAATTACATATTTATTACTAGTTAATTATACAAAATGTATAAATTACATAAGATATCAAGGGTCAATATGGTTAAGAAAGGCCGGTATAAGGTAGAGACTAGAAATAAAACAAAATATCGATGGAAAAAAGGGGGCTCATGTAGTAGGGATATGTGAGACGAATTGGCGACGATAGAAAACTTATGACAATTGTGGATTGGGAGGTAGAGGGTAGAAGGAGAGGAAGATCCCCTGTTAAATGGAAGGAAAGAGTGATGAAGAATATGGCTGGTAGAGGAATGTCGGAGGAGAATACGATGGACCGGCAGAGATGGAGAGAATTGCTGAAGCAGGAGTTAGGTTAAGGAAAACTTACTAAGGAAATTCCTAAGAAAAAAAAATTAAAAATTACAAGAAAATAATAAAAATTAATCTGAGAAGGAATGATCGCAGTTAATATATCAAATTTCCAAAAAATCATACCTTTTTAAAAAATATGTAATAATAATTTATATTTACTATTTGATAGAATTTCATAGACTATTATGATTTGATCAATATTATAGAAAATTGTCATAACAAATACAAAAATCATTAGTTATTTTTTATATTATATCATCTTTAAGCAGTGTTATTTTTAATAAATTAACTCAAAATAATGATTATAAAAATGCAACAAAGTTTTATTTATTAAATAATGTGAAAAATATAAATCATTATTTAAATAATTTGAATAATCAAAAAAACTAATTACATCTTAGGTTTATTGCAAGCATGTATAAATTATAATTTTTTTTATAAAAATTATAAATTTATCAGAAATTTATTTAAATAACGTTTATAGTCTTACATAGTACTTAGAATAATTTTCCCATCATGTAATCATAAAGTTGTGCGTTTTTGTAACTAAATTTGATATATAAAAATGTTTGTTTCATTTTAATGCATTTACAGGCTTTTCGTATCGGTAAATAAAGATAG